ACTCACGTAAAGAAGTGGATCGACAGTTGAAGACAGTTTGTGAGCTGTATATCAAAGATGCAGTACATATGCTTGTGGGTCCGCTCATCACTTTCCTGGACAAGGCACAGGCACTGCTGGCAACGAATACCACAACTCCGGAGACCACAGCGGGCAAAATCAACTATGTGCTGCGACAAAGTAGCTGGGCGAGTCCACAGCAAATCAGTAGCATTATCCAGGAGACACAGCGTCTGATCAAGTCCAAGTTGGCGGTGCTGCAGCGTGCGATGCAGCTATACCTGAGCAATCGTGATACGGAGTTTATAATTTTTAGGCCTATACGAGTAAGTCGTATGAGGATTAGAAGAGAAATAAATCACCAATTATATCCATGTCTTTCCTTGCAGAACAACATCATTCAAGCATTTGTGAAACTGGAGCAATTGCTGACAACAAATGGTTACTCGGCTGATGACATGATAATCACGAGCTGTCCCTCTGCTGAGCAGGTTTCAATTTTATTGTCAAGTGCTAGCATTTTAGCCGCCGAAGGCGTGGCAAGCTTTGCAGCCGCAGCACGAAAGATAAGCACATCGTCATCTGTGGAAGGAGCCGCGACTGCTCGGAAGCTGAGCACCATATCTAACAAGGCGGAACAAGCACAAGCTGTAGTTATAGAGGAGCCGGAAGTTGAGCCAGCGGAGACAGATGCTAAGCAGAACATAGTTCCAGAACAACCAGCGAATGTTTCTGTAGATCAAGTCGCTAATGAGGAGCAAGTCACGGTGACTAGCACCGTTTAGTATGCAATATATATAGACTCTATGTAACCCTACCCTTACCCTCACGTATGTATGTATTTATAAAACTAAGGCATTTCAACATGTATATTACAGTTTATTCTTCCCAACTAGAGCTAATCAATCGAGCCGATTTCTACAACCAAGTTAATAGACATTTGAAGCCGGCTCGATTTTGAATTATTTTTGCTAAGAGCAGCCTTAAGCATGCAGAGAATGTGACGAAGTCAACGTAAATTATCAACATTAAATATTAATTACAAACAATGTGAATTAGTTTATCTAAACATCTAACAAAAGGGCAGCACACACTGGCTGCTGGTCAAGTGATGGATATGTTTCCGTTGCGAGTTTTGAGACTAAGATAATAAGCATTTATCCTTTTCATTTGCTTGCTGTGGGTCGCGTCCACCCACAGTCGTAGCGCGTTGAGTAGTGGCTGAGGACGTTGCTGATCCGTTCCGATTGGCTCCAGATGCGTCATCTTGTTCCATAATTGATAAAGCCAGAGCATGTGCCAGGGCTTCGTCCTCAGTCTAGCCAATATATGATTTAGGTTAAATATTAAGATCGAGATCTGTCCGAGTTACATTCGTTCTGACTTACCATATTTCCTTGAATATTTTGTACTTGGGTGCGCTGTGCAACAGTCGCAGTGGCTGCAGGCACTGGCTTGGATTTGGTATTCGTTTGGGCCTTGCTTTGGAGTCGTCTTTCAGCAGCTTGCGCTGCTTTTGCACGCGTATCTGAGAATATTTTGAAAACGCCCTGTGATGTGCTCGCTGAAGCAGAATCCAAAGCTGAGGTAGTAGAGGCTGGCTTGCAGTCATGGTCGCTTGTGTGGCGATGACGTAGGCAAAAGTTCAATTTGCATTGCGAGCACTGAACGGGTATTAGCTCCTTGCGTTTACAGCCTTTCGCATGGCACCGATTTGTATAAATCTTTTTGCTATCCGATTTGCATTGCTTATCTATATGCTGGCTGACCGTTAGGTCGGGCTCCACGCCCGGAGCCGTAGGCACAGGCTCTCCGCACAGCGGACAGATGGGCACTTGGAAATTTTTCTTGTGAGCTCCTGGGCACTTGTGACGTTCGTAGTTGTAGTGACTGGCACAGAACACCTTTTCGCATGAGTCACACTTAACAGGCAGGAAGTCTACCATAAATTGTGTTTACATTAGTTTAATTAATAGACTGCTAATTCCCAATAGGCCATACATACCTAATCTGTTGCATGTGGGTTCGTTGCAGTGTTGTCCCAAATGTGGAAACTCCATATTTATGGACTAAGTTCGTTGCTTCGTTGGTTGTGATAAAGTAAATGCTGTAGCTGGTTTGTGACTACTATTTATTAAAAACCTAAAAATTAGTGAAAATTCCAGAACGAGCTCGACACAATGACTACACAATATTAACACTGCGATTTCACCATTCGCTTTCAACAGCGTTTATTTGCCATTCGCAATGTATCGATTACAGCTAAACGTATCGTTATCGATATTGACTATCTAAGCTAGTGTTGACAGTTAGAAAGTAAACAAATATCTGCCACATCTGGATACATACATATTTACAAATTTATTCATTTAAATTTTATGTAGTGTTGTCATGTTACAAAAGGATTTCAGAATATACATATACATATATATAATAACCAACAACAATGATGGGACTATTCGTTCCCAATTTAATCACTTAATTACATTTTTGTATTTGCTTCATGCATTCATTTAATAACGGCCTTCATTGAAGTTAATTTTTTTTTTTATATATAATACCGAATATAAATTGAGAATATTTTCCGCTCTGCGACATGTAGACTACGCCAAACGTCTATAATAAACATTTTTAAATTTGTATACATTTACAAAAATAAAAGCAATAGTTGCAATAATAATAATAATTACTGTGTAAGAATAAAAATATAATATATGTGTGTGTGTGTGTGTGCTCGAATGCATCGGTAGTAAAAGTTCAACTCTATCTGCACGAGGAATTTAAAGCGTTAGGATATGCCTAACGGCAACAGCAATAGCGGCAACTTTTAAATCCATTTTTAGATCAACCATTTATCGATCTCCACAATTTTGGTCCCGCACACACGCATAGATAATTCTTTAATTACATATGTTCAGCTAAATGCCGCATTGCTGTTTAGTTAAACCTTTTGGAAATGCATTTAATGAATTGAATTAAAAGTTAAACGATTTCTCTGGCAAATGGAGCGAATGCCTCCCAGTAGCTGATTATCTATGTAAAATAAAATAACATTAAATAAAATATTAAAATATAGGTTAATCTATAGTTTCACCTGTTGTTGATGAGCCATTTGAACTTCGATATATTTTATAATGTTAGCCTTGAAGTCTTTTACTCTGCTTAACTCAAAGCGCTCCATTTCTCGCTTTATTTCGGCCGAAATATCATCGAACTGCTGCTGACAGCGTTGCACCTTCCCTTGCCACTGTGAAACGAGATAATTATTGTAATAAACGTGTGTGAATGACATATCAAAATCGTATGCCCAACCTCTTCGACCTCCTGTTGTGCCTGATCGAGTTTATCAGCACGATTGGCCAACTCAAATCGTCCGCGATTCTCACGTCGCTTCGACAGCTGCATTTGAGCGTATTGCCAGTTTTGAAACGCTTTAACACGCTCATGGAAAATGCACTTAATCGCACCGAATAGACCTAAATAGTCTTTGATGAATTCGGCCAGTATGTAGAAATCTGAGTTTGCCTGCTCCGAGCGTAGGAGTTCTATCTTTTCTTCTACATCGGCGAGATTGGAGAGCGCACGCGAGAGACCTGTGTGCTCCTCGCAGGTGCTGAGCATAGCTGCCGATTTCGCCACCAGGCCAGTCAGTACAGACAGCTCCCGGCGTGAGGAGACGAGCGACTTTAATGCTGACGAAAGCTTTTGCAGATTTGAATCCAAGTGCTCAACTTCAGTTATCTTGTCATCGAACCATGGATCATTTTCATCCATCTTGTACGTAATCTTGTTAACTGTTTCGCCGACCTTATTAAATAATCGTATAACGCCGGCGCCGCTTAAAGCAGACGTATTCACCGCACGCGGCAACTCCTGGTCGCTCTCCAAGAAATTGATGAAATCCAAATCGACACGCAGGACCGGATGTTGGGCCGTACGTTGGACGAATCGTTCGAGTGCCGCACGTCGTATCTCGATCCATTCCTGATTAATCGGTGTGCCCGGCTCAGTTTGCTGTGGACTCATTTTAACCTTGGTGCTACCTATTATATTCTTTGATGGTGCCGGCGGTATAATGCGACCCATACGCAAATACTTGTTGACCAACAAATCATGGATGCCCAAGAAATCACTAAAACGGCGCAAAGTACTAAATTCATTGCGCTTGAATTTGGGAATGTTTGTTTTCGTTGTCACCCTAAACGAATAAATTGCAATTAAATGAGTGAAACGTGATAAGGCTGTGTGACTCACTTGTAGGCCAAATAGGAGCTCATGCCATCGCCCACCTTCTGGGGATCTGATATGACAATTTGAATAAAATAATCCCCATCGTCTGTCAGCACTTCCTCCAAATTGCTCGCAGAAATGCGACGCTGCTCGAATTACACACAAACAAATATATATATAATTAGCTTACACTAGAGATGAACTGCACTGCGATAAGTCGCAGTCGCCTGCCTAATCGCCTAGAGGGGCGTCAGCGAGACTTTCTGTGACGTTGTCACAAATCAAACAAAGCACGCGAACATTGTAAGCAGAAGATAAAACAGCTCGGACGCCGCCCCACTTGCGACCCATCAAATTTATGCTTAATTGAATAAATATTTGTCCGCTGCTTGCTTACATGCACTTCGCTCGGCGTCATTGCTGATACGAATAAATCATTTTCTTGCTCCAATGTTACGCTGCCCGGTGCTGGGACCTCCTCTTCGTCAGATGCACCGGATACTGAACCATTGTTGATGTCCACATCGGCAAATTCTCGATTGTGCTCAGGTGTTGTCGCTGTGTCGACTTCCATCGTGCAACGGCTCTCAATAAATGTTAATGAAATGCGTTGCGCTAACCGTGGCTCTAATTGTAATTATTGGAATTTTTTGTCGCCCTGCTCGATAGCCGCAAGACAATGGCTTTGGCAATATTATCGATATCTGAATTGCAGTGCAAAGCGTGACCAGCGTATAAAAAGCTCTGGAAAATATACCAACAACTTAAAATACTGTAACTTGCATGTATTTATTTTTGTTTAGTATATACAAATATATGGCTTATTGCACTTTTTGATTTGCGGAAATCCAGGATATAAACGAAGACACCTGAACGTAGACAGATGGTGAATTGGCCTGTCCACATGGCATTTTGCCCCAAGACACAATGCCAATCAACACATTTCCTTGCACCAAAGGACCACCCGAATCCGAGGTGCAAATGCTAACTCCTCCTGTCAAAGGACCCGTGCATATATTAGTACTATGCACATCCTTACCCAAAGCTATTTCGCAGGACGCGATGGGTATAATAGGAATATTTGCTGCCACTTGCAAAACGCTTGGATACGTGGGTGAACTTGTCTTCGAGGTGCTTCCCCAGCCATAAAGATTTGCAGTGCCAGTTGGTACTACTCCGGAGCTGGGAAGATTTACAGGTCGGACAGCAGAGGTCCAGGTAAAGGCAGTAGGCGTATAAACCAGGCCAATATCATAAGGCACCGCTCCGCCCGTATACAGATCGTTGATGACAAAGTAGGTAATGCTCCGCTTCTGTGTAGTTGAGGCAGTTCCTTGCACCGCATTGCTACCAGCCACCAAAATACTACCAAGGACCTGGGCGCGATTAGTCAAGCAGTGAGCAGCCGTAACCAACCAGTTGGCATTCAAGATGCTGGCAGCGCAGTAGTGAGTGCCTTGATACTGCATGGACACCGCATAGGGAGCGCTATTCACTGGGGCCGCAACGCCACCCACAACACGTCCATCCGCGATGGATCGGACAACAGCTGCCGATATATGGCATAAGCCAAAGAATAGGCAACAGGCAATTAAATATAAGCTCGTGGCTTTCTGACCTTTCAGCAACATGGTTTCCGAGGAACTGTTTACATTTGTCTTTATCGAGCGCCGTTTAAATTAAAAACGAGATACGATTTAAACACAGCGTAGCTAAATGATAAGAAATTTCAATTTGCGCTTTCGTGCAATAGATAAGCGTTTTATTTAATTGGAAGGGTGGGAATATCAATTATAATAACCATCAAGCAGTACTAGTGAAAACAATTTATTAGTTTTTAAATAATTTAATTGGAAATATGCCTACTTAGGCTCAAGATTGAATTATTACTAAAAAAGCATACCGAATTCAGAAATCAATAATTAATTGTATCACTGTAACAAGCCAATATTAATAAATAATAGTAATGATAATATATATGTATATATACAATTATATGAAATTACTTGACTTATTTAGGTTTATAAGAAC